CTTCCGATGAAGGGAGAGCCCCAATTCCACAATGTCATTTTAGCTGGTGATCTTCATTCTATTGAGCTTCATAATTACCAACCTCTCGAAAATAATGCTTTTGTTATTAGCCTCCCAGTTCCTGAAAGGTCAGGTCTGTGTTCATTTGCAAACACTTAATTGACCAGCACAGATCAGCCGGCAGTGTTGCTGGGATCCCAGCCAGTCTTTACCCTTGACGCGTGCAGTCTCACCAAGAGCTGGTGATGCTTCTGAGTCACTTACTTAGTCAGTATTTATTGAACCTTTACTTATGATCAATGAGATACTCATCAAGTCCTCAAGCTTAATCCTAGCTCACCAAAAATGTCTGTTTTCCACACTTAATATCTTTGAACTCCCTCCCATAGCATTTCATTCCACACAAAAGACATCTTTCATCTCTGTTTCTGAGGCAGGGGACTAGCTACAGGCAGTCTTAAATACCAGTTTAAAAGAATTTTAAAGTTAATTTATTATCTCCAAGAGCACAGAAAAGCTCACTACAACAGTAACAGAAACTGGACCAATACCTATCACTTTTTAGTAAATGGATTTTTAAAAATTGTCTGCCCCCAAAAGAAGAGAGATTATAGAGAACCAGTCAGTCTGTAACAAGGCAGCTTGAGTGACCTCACAACCTTCTTCCAGACAGGCAAGCAGGTGCACCTGCCCTGGTCACAGCTGAGCCAGGCTGTCAGAAGAACAGGAACAGTTCTTTTTCTTGGAGGATCGAATCTGAGCCCACTTTCTTTCCATTTTGCCTGTTCTGAAGCCTACAGTTTTATTGTTAAAATGGAAGACAAGACACTTAAGTCCACGGGATGCCCTGAAAAAAGTTATCTCCTGCTCACTGGCAGTGTCTGTTAGTGCAGCCTGAGGACTGCAGACTTTCTCAGTACAGTAAAACCTTGATATAACAGACTAATTCAGTCAAGGGGGTGTCCGTTAAAGCCAAAATTCCGTTATATAATAAAGTAGGTTTTTGGAATGGGTATGTTAAAAAAAATTGATAAATTAGTTTACTTGTTTTTACTTATGTAGATACGTTTGCGTAATTAAAATAAGTATGTATGAAAAGTTTAATTTCACAGAAAAGTTTTCTATATGTATTACTGTAATTTTATTTTATTTTATTTTTAAAAATATATCTTTATTGTTTTCAGAGAGAGGGAGGAGGAAAGAGATAGAAACATCAATGATGAGAGAGTTGTCATTGATCGGCTGGCTCCTTCACGCCCCCTACTGGGGATCGAGCCCGAAACCCAGGCATGTGCCCTGACCGGGAATTGAACCTCGGTCTCCTGGATCCTAGATGGATGCTCAACTGCTGAGCCACTCCTGGCCAGGCTGTAATTTTAAATTTATACTGAATAGATCTAGTAAATGTGTGCATTCACCAGTCACCACGAATAAACAAACGCACACAGCTGGGGCATGGCTCAGAAACATCAGCCAGCACGCTTTAAAACTGTTGTAGAGCCCAGCTGGCATGGCTCAGAGGTTGAGCATTGACCTATGATCCAGGAGATTGTTACCAGGAAACCCCGGTGGGGTCCAGTCTGCCTGTCACTGCATCAAATTCAGTAGAGGCAGGGTTGAATCACATAAGGCGTTTATTGAGAAGGCTGGCCAACCAAGAAGGCAGGGAGCATAGGAGCATCCAAAACCTGTCTTAAGGAGTGGCCTGAGGGATAGGGTTATATAGGGAAGTAGGGTAAACTGAGGCTGGGAATGGAATGCAGCTATTGTGCAGCCCCGGATGTCCACAGGCGAAGCTATTGTTTTTGGTCATCTGGCAATGTCTTGGTAATATCTTGACTGCTGGTTGGGCCGGCCTGAACATGCCTGTTCACAGATACATTGTCCACGGCTGTGTCACCTCCTTAATTGCTTCATCCAGGATCAGGGGGAGTATACATGCATAAAGGCCTAGGAGAAAGAAACTTAAGGAAAAAGAAACTTAAATCCCTACTCACATAAGTATATGTGTTCTACAATTTTGTAAGAAATATAATTATATTTCAGATTTATTCAGGTGCTCAATCTTTGGACATTATAAGTGCCCCTATCAAGATCACGGTTAGAGTCCCAGTCAGGGCACATGCCTGGGTTGTGGGCTCGGTCCCCAGTAGAGGGCGTGCAGGAGGCAGCCAACAATGACTCTCATCATTAATGTTTCTCCCCTTCTCCCTTTCTCTGAAATCAATAAAAGCATATTTTTTAAAAAAAATAGACTTTAGTTGTAGATATGTAATATTTACTTATGTAGGCAAAATTACTAGTGTTTTTTTCCAACATATGGCCTATTCACTAAAATTTGTTAAAAATAACAGTGAATTAATAACAAAATAATAACCTGTTAATTTAATTATAAGGAAATCTTGGTTAAAAGCATTTTAAAATTAACAGAGTTTTAATTTTCATATATGACACACGGACCAGAAAGTTTGTCCATTAAATCCAAAGTCTGTTAACTCTAGGTCTGCAAAATCCAGGGTTTACTGTACAAACTTTTCCCTTCTTAGCTGGTATTTTCAGAGTCACCCTGGACCTCAGTAGGAGCCAGCCACTGGGCAGGTGTTGGTTGTAAGGACAGAAAAAAGGCCTCACTTTTTCTTTGCTGTGGTCTTCCACAATTTATGAGAATCACCTGGTAATTAAACCCCAAGATCGCTGGCTTCTCTATTCAAACTGTGGGACAAGATAAGCTACTCTCAAGCCTACATTCTTACATCCCCCTCCTCCCTGCTGTTTTCACAACTCAGGGGTAATTAGAATCAAGGAGTCTCTAGTTACTAGAAAGTCCCCCACCCCCCCCTTCAAACAAGCCTCTTGACCTCTTCATAACTTTCGCTCTGAGCATGTTTTACAGGGTTGGGAAAAATACTGATAAGACACCTCCCTAGCACATCTGCCAGACGGTCTCCTGGAAAGCAAACAAACTGTAACTTTTCAAGATAACCCCTGGTATCTGCTCAACTTCAGTCCCCAAACTCCCCTTCTTTCCTTGTCATTTAGCAATAGCCCAGGGCTTAAAAGTAAAAGCTGCCTTTTGTTTCCTGCCCTTGCATTTATTAGCAATGCACAGGCCCTTTCCTCTCGGAAACTAAAGTGAATTTCCTCTCTGCAGCTCTTCTTTTAGTTGTGAATTCTTTCACAGCCCATGTCACCGGCCACACCCTAACATTGGTGGCTGCCTTTCAAGTGTGCACTGGGTTTCCCTTAACAGCCTAACCCCAGCACCCAGGGCACTCTTGCCTGGGGGCACCTGGTGACCCTGGGCTGGTGAAGGACTGAGGCCCCAGATGTCCCAAAAACGGGGGATGGGG